GTCGATGAGAATGACCAGTTTGGCCTACGTTCGGAGACGTGTCGATCAGTGTGGCCCGTTTGGCCTACGTCTGGAGACGTGTCGATGAGAATGACCAGTTTGGCCTACGTTCGGAGACGTGTCGATCAGTGTGGCCCGTTTGGCCTACGTCTGGAGACGTGTCGATGAGAATGACCAGTTTGGCCTACGTTCGGAGACGTGTCGATCAGTGTGGCCCGTTTGGCCTACGTCTGGAGACGTGTCGATGAGAATGACCAGTTTGGCCTACGTTCGGAGACGTGTCGATCAGTGTGGCCCGTTTGGCCTACGTCTGGAGACGTGTCGATGAGAATGACCAGTTTGGCCTACGTTCGGAGACGTGTCGATCAGTGTGGCCCGTTTGGCCTACGTCTGGAGACGTGTCGATGAGAATGACCAGTTTGGCCTACGTTCGGAGACGTGTCGATCAGTGTGGCCCGTTTGGCCTACGTCCGGAGACGTGTCGATGAGAGTGGCCCGTTTGGCCTACGTCCGGAGACGTGTCGATGAGAGTGACCCGTTTAGTCTACGTCCGGAGAGGTGTCGATGAGAGTGGCCCATTTGGCCTACGTCCGAAGACGTGCCGATTGCATTTGTGAACACTCCATTAGAGAGAAAAGCTTGAACTTGTATTGATGTATGCGTGACTTCATTTCTTTATTGAACAAAAGAGATGAGTTGCTGGGGTAACATCAAAAGTAACTTGTCTTCAATTGAGGTAAGGGAGGCTTGGCCGCCTGCTTGGTGCCGAGCTGATAGGCGAGGAGCTTCGTGGATAGTACCTCCGGAAATGATGGGCATTTCATTGTCTTGGAATTTCCTTCTCTTAAAAGATGATGCTAGGATCGTTTTCCATGACTAGGTAGCTGGTCACAGCTTGGGAGACAAAAGTTGCTTGCTTGATCCTTCTCTGCTGCTCCCCGGTGGTCAGCTCGAGCTCTTAGAGTCAGGATCATGCTGATCCGTATGACTTTTTTGTGGAGGCTCGTTGGCAGTTACGTCACAATCCTTGATTTGCTAGACGGCCCCCCTTGCAATGAATTCTGTGCAAGCGAAAAAATGAGCTTCTCCATTTTCAGATAGCGAGTCTCTGCGCCGAGGAGAGCTTTTGAAGTGTAGAATACAGGATGTTTTGCCCCCAGCTCTTCTCGGATGAGAGCTAAGCTGACAGCTGAGTCAGACACCGCTAAGTAGATGTACAAGTCTTCGCCTGGTAT